CCTTGAAGGGTGACACGACCTCGCAACAATGCACCTTGAATTCAGACGTGCCCCTTGCCATGGCCCAGGCGTCCACTACCTCTCCGTGGCGCATCGGCCGACCAGTCGCTGTGGACCTGCTTGCCTGCCGTGACCTTCGTGCGCTTCTTGGAGCACGGCGTTTCCACGTCCGTCGACTCGGCCACCCGCGCCGGCACGGCAGCCGCTCTGTAACGCTTATGTCGGTGTTTCGTCGACGGTTGCGTCCGCATCAGCGCAGCCAGACAACTGTTCTTTGTCGACAGCCTCGTCGGCACCATATGCGCTGTCGGAGACTCCGCCACGACCATTCTATATTATTACTCGGTCATCATGGCTCCGCTGTGATCCATCAGACCACTTCGCCCACATCACCGACGCGGGTTCTTCAGCGCCTTTCCACGGCTCTGGATGGGGGCACATTTGTCAGCCGCATCTGCTCCAACCACCGGATTCACTCTCAAAATCTCCTGCCGAGTCGTCTTGGGACGCACGCGTCTAAGACAGCAGCGACCCAGTGCTGTCATCATCGCCCACTGCGTTTCTCCCTGTATCGCCCGCCGGAGACCCACTGCTTCCCGATGGCTTATACACGTTGACAAGCTGGACTTCCCAAATGGACACTTTACGGATTGTCGTTCATGTATATAGCATGTGTCCCTCCCTTTATTTTGTACATATGTTTTTAACCGCGCAAAGCGCTAAGGGTGGGGGGAGCTTATGTAGCATCACGCTAGATTTTGCTAAGTGGCCGCGCCGAAAAAGAAGCGAGTCGCGTGGCTCGTGTGGCGCGAGCCATGAGGTATAGAAGAAGAGCCTAGCTTGGGAACCTTGCTTGACGCTGCAGCGGTGATTCCGCCTACGCCAGCGACCCGAATAAAGCCTATTGACCTCGGAACGGGCTCGTTGCGACCGTCTCGCCTGTCCTTCCTCGACAGATTGTTGGCTCATTATATCGCATTTTATCCCCTAAGTTCATTTGCATGGCGTCTAAGCTTGATTATGAAGCAATGGCCGTTGGTTGAATACACACACTTGACTGCATTCTATTCCACGGTGTCCCACCCCCTTCAAGGCCCCGTACGATGCATCGTTGAATTAATCAGTAATTCCGCGTCTAAAAAAGCGTTCATTAAGGCGAGCTTCAAGTACTTCATCATGTACTGGCCTGAAAAGAAAGGAGGTGCTTGCACTAATCCACCCAAGGCTTGAAAAAGTATAACTGGGCGACTTGGAGGACTAATCTAGTTGCTTCTTGGTTGTTCAAGGACTTAGCTGTGAGATTCAGGTTGTTTCTAGATTGCTTCTAGGTCGTTCGTAGGCTTCAGCTAAGTGATGCTAGGTTTTTTTTAACGTGTAATCTCAGCGCAGAGATGTTCGAATTTAGAGTCACAGATTCGACGCAGTTGTCCAAACTTCAGAGACAAACTCGTGCTGAAACCAAGCGTTCGCACCTCTCATAAATCCATGAGCAGGTCGTCGTTGGAGTACGCCTTTCATCTCTTTGAGATCTTGTAGCAGACACCATGGCCTTTCCTGTTTTTTTTAGTTTTGGGTTAACTGCCACCTTACTAATTTTAGTAAAACAGTGGTGAGTTGTGGAATTTCACAATTTTTGTGGCATATGCGCCTTCATGATGATGAAGGTTTTTTAGTCGGCTACAAAAATTATGGTGAGTTTAAACAGCTTCGCTGTCAAAATACGGCATGTGGTAAAGAAATTCGCTGACCCCTTCAGCATGACATTAAAAAAAGTGGGGTTTCAGCCCGAATTGAACTCAAGTATTCTCGTGGCTGTCAAGTGATCTACTATAAAGCAATGCATGCCCAGCTTGACACAATCACAGAGCTGAATTTCGCAAAGTGAAAAAGCTCGTGAAATCAAAAGGCTACTTGTGCCAGTTGTTGCTGCGTTGCATGCTCACTTTCAACGTGGCTCTCGCATTGACAACCGGCCAGAGGCTATGCCTCCCTGGGAATTCACCGTCATCACATATAATAAGACAAAAATGTTACAGTGCTCCGATACATCATCTACAAATGACGAACGCTCCATCATCGAGGCCCCATGCGCTAATACCTACAAACTATATACAGATGCTGCTATCCTACAAGACGGTGGACGGACATCATTCTTGAGTACTACGTATAATTTTGTCAGTTGCCACCAACGTTATCTATCTACGGAACCCTCTCCTCTTGCGATAGAACTTAAAGTCATACATGACGCAATCTAGGATGGCACCTCTAAGCTGCCTACAATTAAGCATATTGACGTATACACTGATTCCTTAGGAGCTATTAAAGAGCTCTAAAATACCCAAAGTGATTAAGATCTGGGAGGCGATTCATAAGGTGAATCATAATACAGCTACTTGCGTAAAAGTACAATAGATTACTCCTTCCTTCATTCATTCATTCGTTCGTTCATTCATTCATTCATTCATATTTGTTCGTTCATTCATTGTTCACTTTCACTTTAAAACAAAGAGTGCTCTGTTTTCTGTTTTCTTTTTTTCAGTTCTTTTTGCCACGTATCAGAGTCTGTTTTAAGAGACACGTGAACTCTCTTCGGAGATCATTATAATGTTGTCAGAAAATCATGAGGCCCAAGAAAGAGTTAACATGTTTCTTTAAAAAGATTCATATTCATGACAAGTCAAAACTCGCTGAGAAGAGTAGCACTTTCTATCTCTTTTTTTAATGTTTGGTAAATATATACAAAGGTAAAAGTGTTCTCACGAGGTCATAACAGCGCCTTTTTAATGACAAACATATGTCGTATTTGCTCGTGGTGACTCATATTCCTTAAAAGGAGATCTGTAAGGCCTTCACTTACTTGTATGACCACAAAGCTGAACCTGCCGAATTTTCAGTAGTGAAACTATTGAAACTGGCCGAATTTTTCGCGGCCTACGAGTGTGTGCCACGTGGCCTACGCAAGAACTATCACCATAAACGGGTATGTGATACGAAATAATGTATATCTTATTACTAACTATTGGTTCACTAAGAATGATGAAAGAAACTATCGTCATCAAACGGGCATAGGGAACTGCCTGTCGGAAAACTACCATCACCATAAATGGGAATGTACCACAAAACTTACTCTATTCCCCCTACTCATCACTGGTCCCCTAGAAGTGAAGCAGGCCACAGTTCACACAACAAATGACTGCAATACGATGGCGGAAAGATGAAGGCCCCTGCAGCGTACAACGAGAAAATACTATGGGATGAAAAAGGCAACGACAGCTGCGAAAAGACCCCGAAGAGACAGAAGGCGTACGCCAACACGACATGTTTGTAGATCCAAGAGAGGTGCGAATGCTTGGTTACAGCGCAAGGTTTTGTCTTTCAAGCTTGAACATTCGTGTCGTATCTGTGACGGTCTGTGCTTCAACTCTAGCCTCTCTACGCCGAGAACCAACGTAGAAACTACCTAGCATCACCTAGCAACGACAAAAAACCAACCCAGAAACAACCTGCACCACCTAGCTAAGGCCTAAAAACAAACTACAAGCAAACACATTAGTCTTCAGAACCATCCAGTTTCGTGATTTCAAGTCTTGCTCGCCTTGGTGCAAGCTTCGACTGATCTTTTTTTCTTTGTATAAATGTCATTCATATATGTTATTTGTTTTCAAAAGTGTGGGTTTTCTCTCTTTGCTGCGGAGTAGTTCTGTCTGGGTGAGCTGGTGTGATATACTGCAAATTTGCCACTGCGTGGTAAGACTGGCACAAAGCCATAGACATGCACATAATTCTAACGCTGTGCAATGCCATTCAAAACTTTGTTTCCGGAAAGATTGCACTTTAATGCCATCCACTCACTTTGAAAATAAATAATATTTTTTTGTTTTACAAGACACGTTGCCACCAAATGTATGGGTATAACACTTTCAAATGTTACATATAAGTGCTATATTTGTGAAAGTGCCTTGTTATACTTTGGCTAGAGCTGTGCTGGTTCTTTGTGTACTTGTGTTATTTGTCCTCATCTCTCTGCTGTTGGAACTTGCATGGTCCTTGGTGTGCACGTGCGTGTGTGTTTGCTTGTGTGTGTAGATGTGTTGACGTTAAACGAAAATGGGGAATTTCAGTGCTTTGCTCCTTCTCTGGTTGGCGCTGACGCGGCGGTCTAGTGGCTAAAGTACTCCGTCTCTGGCGAGGAAAAATAAATAAATAATTAATGGCAGGCCGGTATGCAACCGTCTCTCCGATAAAAAATTCAATTCGAACATTACGGGAGACCAGTTTTTACAGCCCTTTGTGATGCTACGTAAGCGAACTGCGAACGTTTTGTTAGCCAGTAGACTATTTTCTTGTCAGGTGTTTGTGGCCATCTCTGTGACTGCCACTGATGAATATATTTAGCATGAATGAGAGACAATAATTACACTTGTTCCTTGTTCCCCTAATATCATTAAGTCTTCATATGTTACCATCCTTTGTACATTTTGCAATTTCTATTTTATGCTTAGTCGTCTCTTCTCGGCGTCGAGGCAGAAGAATGACCACCTCTCGTGTCAATACTAGCTTTAGCTGTAGTCAGCAACTTCTGACTCAGGTGCAGGCACTCAAAGACCATGTAAATAAACCATCTAGAGTACTACATATTAATTAAAAAAAGCAACTACTCTTATTTGTGCGTTACAAGCAAATGTTTTTTTTTGGTACTTTTCTTGCTCTTCAAAGTTTTATATTTACTAGGGTCGCTGCATTCTTTGACGTTCTTCCTATGATGCGTTTATAGACATTAAATACGTCCCAACGTCGTCTTGTAGCAGATGTACTTGCTTTGTTAAATGATATTCAACAATCCGTCAATACTACCACCCAGAAACACGCATACTAAAATGTGCTTTAGTTGGACCATGGTACTCAAAGACTGTACCGATTTGAGGTTTCTAATGCTTCTTGTGCATCGTTTCTAGGACTGATAATGGCTCAAAAGCTCACCGTATAACTTCATTAGTCCATTACATGAAGTTGCAGCACTGCATGCAAAAACCAGTTGAATCAGTAAAACGTCTCTAAATAAGAAGGTTGTGAAATTTACTTTAGTTGTATTGGTTTTTTTTTCGAACTTGAGTCATATAGATTTTTTCAGGTCACACAATGAAACAAATAAAAAGTCTCATCAAGCTTTTGTTTTTTTTTAATTTTCATTTCTCACACAGGTACAATGTTGATGTGGTTCACACCCATGACTTGATGATGGTAGAAGTGCAGTCACTTGAAATCAGTAATGAGGTGATATTTCGCGTACATTCATCCAGTTGTCAATGCACGAGCACTCTGCTGGAGAAGCACTATCAGTTCAACTGTTGAAGTGTCCGCTAACTTTTGTGCACACAACCACTTCACACGCAGCAATCTCACCCACGCATTCGAGAAAAGAACACTGTTAAGGGTAGCCTGGATAATACTGCAGCCACTCGCCTACTTCCACACTGTGTTCTTCTATAGCTTCCTGCATACTCACTCGACGTTACACCAAAAGTAAGCAACACTCCAAACAATGTCTTGCCGGCTGCTTATATTGCAGAACGCCAGAACGTTGAGAATTTGGTAGGGATAACAACTGAAAATGTGCAATAGTGAGGACCTATATGCGATCCACACTTGTCGTTTTTATAGCACCGTGAAGATGCATGCGCAACCTGTCGCGAAAACTTGAAAGGCGCCACTACGTTGGCTTCTCTGCACTTGCGCTATCGTTCAACTGCAATGAAAGAGATCTTTAAGCAGCTACTAATGAAGTCTAGCAACAGCAGTGCCAACTCATGTTCGCCAGCCACTGTGAATGACAATGTAAGTGATCCTTACACGTGCGCGATAAGCTCTCGTGTGTAAAGGCAATGTGTCCTAAGTTCACAATATTTTCTGCAGTGTAAGCTGCAGTGTTTTTTTTTTGTCATTCATCAGACAAGCAAATGTTTTAAAGTTACCCCTTAGCGTTAAAAACGTTTCCCCCCCGACTTTACCGCTACAGTTGGAGGTAAATTGTACGCCGTCCTGATAGCTGCAACCGCCCCGTCTACACCGTCTGCGCCAAGAGCACCAAGAAGTGTAGTACCACCATCACCTCCACCAACATTTCCGAGGCCGTTCTTAAACACAGGTCCACCTTTGTAACCAAAGCCACCCAGCCCAGTGCCAATTAGAGCAGGGTGACGTACACCGATACCTACAAGTCCTGGTCCACCGAGACCTGTGAGCATGGGTGCTCCGAATCCGGGACCACCGAGACCGTGTAAGCCCAAGTTGTGCACTGCAAAGTGATGTAGCCCTAGGGTTCCAAGTCCGGGTCCTCCCAGCTCTAGTCCCGCATGCCCCTCTAAAACATGACGACCCGCACCGGGACCCAGAAGAGCGTGCCCGTGAAGTCCCGGGCCGATAAATCCAGGACCCTCGAGCAGACCAACACCACCAACTTTAGCTGGTCCAGCCAACGCATTGGCACCAGCGGCGTGCACCTGTGTTTTCAGCGCATTCACTTTGACACCGTTGAGGCCATTGAGTGCTGCCGCGCCATTACCACCAAGCGCTGAAGTGAAGCCAGCAAGGCCGTGTCCGTTAAGGCTGATTCCGCCGGCTGCTTGGCCTACGCGGACAACAGGCCTAATTGCGTGATGAACAGTGGCCACTGGGTGCTTGACATACTTTATGACGGGCTTTGTCACATACCGCAGGTTTACGACGGGTTGTTTCAGGAATGTAACGGAAGCGATTGGCGTGGCCACTGGTGCAGGAACGGACACACCCTGTCCATTCGGTGCTGCTAACAGCTGGCCTCCTGGACCAAGAAGACCAGCTCCTCCCAGGGCAGTGTTCAAACCACCACCACCCAGTGCTGACACCAGATTGGCTGCTTGAGCGGGGCTCAATGCGGCGCCCTGTCCATTGAAGCCGCTTCCTGCAGCTCCCAAAAAAGGTGACACTCCGGCTCCGCCTCCAGCAGAAGTCGTGTCCAGAAGCACGCACGTGATGACAAAAATAACCTGTGCGACAAAACAACACAGCCACTGTGACTACGCTCGAGCAATAAGAAGTGATAAACATTCTAAAATATATTATGCTATTTGCTGAGACCAGCGTTACTTAGATTCAATAGGCTTGCCTTTTTGCGAGCGGGAGGGTAAAAGAATGGGTGTGTGTCAATAAAAACATTCTGATGCGCCACTTTCACTTGCGTCTTAACCATTTTTACTCCGTTAACTCTGAATTACAATCGTAATTTATATTTTGCTACGTGCTTGACCTTGAAATTCAATGCTTATGTCCCAATGACAGCTTTGACGATGGCTCAAAGCCTGCTTCAAAGCCACCAATACGACGTAAAAACGAGCCTGGTGCACCCGTAAAATAAATTTCGACGTGCACATACCACTAGCATGACGGGCGCATATTTAGCTTCTTAGTAGCATATTTATTGTTTACTAATTGAGAGCATTTCGAGACTTTGAAGTAGCTCTGCAACTGCATTGAGGATTGCGGTTACAAAGCTGCAACAAGAGCTCGTGCAGCACGACAGAATTTGTTCGAGGCTGAGCAAGTACTCACGGCGGTTTTCATGTTGGTATCCACAGCTGGCTCTTGGTATCGTCTGTTGCTCGGCTGCGACGTAGGGGGCCCTTTATAGCGGTCTGAATGGGTGCCGCGTGGAGTTGACCTCCTGAACGCACCGGGGAGCGTCGCAAGCTCACTTTCCTCGGTCAATGTCTCATAGCGGCACAGCCGAAACAACTGATAACGTCTTGACCACGTACGAGAGGGCTGAAAGCGAATTCTGTGTCAAGAGGCCTCTAAACAGCGCTTCATTTTCTGGAGGACGTTACTGGGTTTTGAAGATCAACTGGTTTTTTTTGGATCAACGAGGAAATATCCATTCTTGCCAGCATTGCTCGACAACTGCATGGCTGACTGTCGATGTACGCGATAGAAGCGCTTCTGGCGTGTTTGAATTTCGTCATGTACTGCAGGGAAACAGAAAAGCAGATTAGCTGTGTTGGTCGACTGCATGGAGTTTGATAGTGATACGGTATGCCACCTTGGGCGAGCACTTAATTTTTTAAAATAGTTTCTCGCTCCCTGTGTTATGTGTTGAGCCTTGCCGTACACATTCTTTATTGTTGCTATCATCCGCTTCAATTACACAAATTGAAGAAATGTTAAAAATCTGATTAGGAAAGGTATAAAACTAATATCGAACAGTAATCAAAGCACCCAGCCGCTAGCTTAAAACTGCACATTGCACAACTTTCACTGAATGCCAACACTAAAGACGCCGTGAATTGAACTGTTCTTTCCATAGCAATAATTTCCTGCACCGAGTACCCGTCGCTAAAATAAGAAAGACAAAAATCAAGGCGTATTTGCAACATCAATGCTGTATACTTTGGTGAAGGAAAAGCTATAAGTGCCAGTGTATCGACTTCCACAGTATGCGTTAGTCGGAAATAAAAATATTTAAATAAGATGGTTTGAAGTAATCAGCTGTGTGAGGTCGTGTTTAACACAAAAAATTTTGTTTGTTAGGCTCTTACATAGCCAGCTTGTTGCTGCTTTTTCAGTATTAGTACCAAAACATACTAACCATATCAATGAGACACGAACTCAAGAGTATAAGTTTCAAAACAGTAAGAAGTGCGCTTTCTCAATCGTCATAAGTTCCCTCGACTGCTGATCCGTTGGTCGTGATTTCGATACTGGCCATGGCCGTCACATTTCGATGCAGGCTGAATTCCAGAAGCCCGTGCATTGTGCGATGTGACTGCACGTTACATGGCACGGGATGGTTGAAACTTCCGGAGCCCACCTCTACGGCGTCTCTCATAATCATTTCATATTTTAGGATCTAAAGCCCATATATTACTATTGTTGTTATTTACTTCCCTCACCTTGCAGATATCACGTAAGAAAAGTATTTTGTAAAAGTACATGTCATTCAAATGAGTGATTTCTTGCGCTCTGTTTTTGTAAGTTGTAGGGAATTACTCAAATCAGGGCCAGCACGATATCAATTTGGTACGTGGAATACACGAACTTTGACAACACTTCACAACATTTGCAATATTATGATATATATATATCATAGCCAGACCACTGTGAGAGTGCTAGATACTGAAAATGAGTGCAGATACTTTATTCATTGGCTATCTTCGTGAAATTGGTACGCATTACTTCTAATCGATAAGCGTGTTAACTCAGCATGTCAGGTATAGCGCTGCTAATTCTGAGGTCTCGGGTTCAATTCCCGGCAACCAGCGGCTGCATTTGTATGGGAGCGAAACGCAAAGAACACCCATATTGCAATCGTGTGCCTTTTAAATAGCTCCAGGCCGTCGAAATTTATCATAAATTGATTTCTAATAACTGCCTCCTTTCCTTGTTTCGATTCAATTTTTAGGTCGCATGCCCCGCCACGGTGGTCTAGTGGCTACGGTACTCGGCTGCTGACCCGCAGGTCGTGGGATCAAATCGCGGCTGTGGCGGCTGCATTTCCGATGGAGGCGGAAATGTTGTAGGCCCGTGTGCTCAGATTTGGGTGCAAGTTAAAGAACCCCAGGTGGTCGAAATTTCCTGAGCCCTCCACTACGGTGTCTCTCATAATCATATGGTGGTTTTGGGACGTTAAACCCCACAAATCAATCAATTTTTAGGCCACGTAGTGTTAAATTGTGATCTAACAATAAGTACTTCTATTTTACAGGCCATTCTTTTTTAGTTGTGGGGACACATAATCTTAAGAAATACGGTTGGCAATATATTGGCAGGTTACTTGTAGGAGAAAATGATCTAACGTTCAACATGGCTGCCGTTGTTCACCAGAGGACCACCAAGTTGTCCTCCGCTTGTTTTTTTTTTAAACTTCATTGCGCTGATAGCTGCAGTACTGCTACATCGACTCACGGTGGCGAAAGCGCGCACGCGGCGCTTGTTAAGTGTTGAACGAAAGATACGGCTTCAGGCAGGTGATGTCGATGATGTCTGGATATGTAAAAGTTGTGATTGGGTGCTTAGGAGGTATTTCATCAGTGTTCGGAAAGAGCGGACCAAAAGGAAGGTCGGTTCAATCCCATACAAGAGATAAAACAGAGAATATCCGAAATTCCCAGCCATATTGCGGCTCGAGGTGTTGTGCACAAAAGAGGTGTTATGTTGCACATGTGTCCCTGTTGTGATGATCAGTCTAGAGATACACGAACAACGTGTCAGTGATCGTGAGATTTAAAGTCCGTGAGGCCGTCGTTTGCTTGGGAATGGTATAGGCAGTCGTAAGCTTGTGCTCTTGTGCACAAGAACGAAGTAAATGTTCTACGAAGGTCCCATTGCATTTTAATTTTTTTTGTACCCTTGTCTGTATATTTTATATATTGTAACAATCCTTTTTTCGTAATCATAAAAAAAACTGATTTAATGGTTACTCAGGAATAAAAAGCAGCGACTTCGCTTCGTCAGAAGATGATAATGTGTGTCATGATGCAAAAAGACGGCTTGTATCGCGAAGTCGTCGACGTCTGAAGCGCAACTGCTCGAGAGGGGTATCTGGATGGCCAAATGGAGGGGATGGCAATTCATCTGTTACTAGCTCTAGAAAGAGACAAATGAACGAAAAGGTCGAATGCAGTGGCCTTCTTTTAAAATAAATTAACTTTAAGCACTCGCCAGAGAAGTTTCAGGCATAGCCACAACACTGTGACGAGCTTGATAAAGTTCGTGCACGACATCAGCTATTAGGCGTTATTAAGCAGGGTTATCCTAATGCTATCGATGTGGCAAAGTCTTTGTCATTGTCTCGCACTCTAAACCTTGCACAAGTGTTTCAATATATAAAATACGTATATCTTGACTTGTTGGTAGAATAACAAACTTTTTTTTTCCAGCGTTCACAAAATCTACGTTTCAGCTCTACTGACTGACCTTTCATGCCCGTTTCATCAGGTTCCCCATGGCTTACTACTGGGTCCTCCTATATTCCTGCTTTATATTAACTATCTCCCCCAACACACCTCAGACACTCGTTTTTGAAGGTTATTTTGTTTTGTATAACATCAATAAATATTCAACTTGGTATGTTGTCTTCAACCATACGTTCGATGGTTTCTGTATCTATTCGGGAGCATGGCACATGAACGTCAACTTTTCATCTCTATGTCCAAATGCATGACGTTTATACCCATGCTTATTTGTCACCATGTTAAAAATTGCACTTTACAGTGAGAATTCAAATTAAAATATGTGAGTATCTTGCTTACATACCATTTTTTCGGGGTGAAATCAAGCTGATGTTGCTGTAACAAACCTCTTAAAACACTATAGTTCAGTTACATTGTACACTCACCTTGCTCCTCAAGAAAGTAAAATTTCTAATACATATCACACCTATTCGTCCCACCCTCTCTATGATTGGTTTGTATAAAATTCATACAGACACTGGGGCATAAATAAAAACATCGCCCACTTCCACACCTAAAAAGAAAAAAAAAGAACAAGGTGGTGAGTCTTGTTCGTGGAAGATATGACGAAGATTTTTTTGCCGTTGTTTTCTTCCCCAGTATGACGAGGGCACGCTGGCAGCACATCGCCAACTTTATTGTATAAGTTCAGTTTACTTGGCAACAATATCTCGTCGTCTTCCTTCCCTAGATAACTAATTCACTTTCTCCATATCTAAAATCTACGAAAAGTTACCGCGCCCTAAATATTTCAACCTTTTTTCGACCACACTGAATATTTTATATTCAGTTTTCTTTCATCAAAAATTCAAGCCTGAAGTTCATTATTGGAAAACATTCATGCACTGCCAATGAAGAAATTCACAAAAGTTTGCTTCCAAATAGTTGCGCGTTTTTTGCTCATACCAACCGCAATGTAGACTGAATGCGGCTGCACTGCTTCAAAATCGTTAAAAATAAATAAAAAGTTACGTGAGTTTATTAAATTTATGCGCTTCACTATATTGTTATTTATTTTCACGCTAGCCGCCTGTCATCTGGCTGGCTATTGCTCGATTCTTCACAGTGAATTTCTTCATTGACCTGTCAGCAACGAGTTATCGCATGTTGTCTTGTCTCTATTAAATGAAATACCGAGTTCGCAGGAAGATAATTTGTCACGAGTACAGAAAAAAAAAGGATTTTGGGTGCTTACGGAAATCACCCAAATTAATATGCTAAAATACAATCTTACTTCCGCGCAAAATGATGATGTCAATAAGAAAAAAACCTGTCTAGATTGTCATGGTGTTCAATTTTATAAACCTGAACGTTCATTGATTGACATGTGGGGTTTGACGTCCCAAAACCACCATATGATTATGAGAGACGCTGTAGTGGCGGGCTCCAGAAATTTCGACCACCTGGGGTTCTTTAACGTCCATCCAAATCTGAGCACATGGGCCTACAAGATTCCCGCCTCCATCGGAAATTCAGCAGCCACAGCCGAGATTCAATCCCGCGACCATCGGGTCACCAGCCGAGTACCTTAACCACTAGACCACCGCGGTGGGGCAAACCTGAAAGTATTCGGCCTGAGTTTCATGTTCAGTAAAACAGTCAAAAGATTCTTTGTGA